CTTTCTTAAACGATCTTGTATCATCTTTACAACAAGCTATTCCTCATTTGCAGATGAAAAAAACCAGAGCTTCAAGAGAAGTTGAATGCATTTCTAAAGTTCATGCAGTCACGAGTCATGACCTCAGGACCTTGGGATGACAGAGCCTTATTCTCCTAGCTGCTTCTCCCTACTTCCAAGGTGCTGGTATGTTATGTTGGGGTGGAGGGACGGCTGTTAATAATAAATGCACAGAAATGCCTTAGACCCCATTCTGGGGGATGTATGCAAAGTGGAACATGCGTGTCAGATGCATGAAAAGAAGTATTCGGTGTCACTGTGGTGACGTCTGGTCAAACTTGAGCATAACAGTTCCTTACAGAATCATCAGGGGTCCCTACATCCTGTCAATCTGGATTGGTGCTGGCTCTGCTACTTACTATGTGACCCTGGGAAGGTAATTTGTCCTGTGTCTGTACTGAAGACTTAGCTCATAGGTCATTTTGAACATCAAATTGCACGGTGCTGATGTGTAGTAGCACTAAACATTAAATATTAATATTTCCTAGTCACCTATATGAAAGGATCAAAAATTAAAGTGACTCCTCTTACCTACTAGAAACACTGGAGACTTCAGTTCTACCTGGAGAGACCCACCTTGCCTCAAATCTTCAGTAGCTACCTTTTGCCACTGCATAGAATCCATTCCTTCCATGTCAGCCAAACCCTGGCTTAACTCCAGAGATTCCTCAAATCTCTTATAAAGAAGAATGATCTCTTCCTTTCTTATACATTCTTTTCCATACCACTTGGTTTTGATGAAATTGGTCTGAGTCTAAGAGAAGGAGGTGAAGGGAAGACATTATTTTTTACAGGAACTGATCTACCAGCATTTTTGGTACAGCCCTGACCTCCTTTACTTTCCACAGAAATAGGTTTGTGATCTTTAATTTGTTAAGAAACATTGCTACTATATACACCAATGCCCCTCCCTTTCTAATCAAAACCATCTCTAGGAGAGAGAAATTCTATGTGACTTTGGCTTCTTTGAAATCAGTATATGTAGTTGAGTTTTTGTTGAGAGGGTTAGCTTTACAACATCAGGGACAATGGCAATCCCCAATTGCCTCTGGGAAAAAAATCAAATTTCCAATTACTGAACACATAAAGCCTCATAAAGAGCAACTTCTCTAATTTCTTCCCTTCACCACATGATTCCTCCCCAACTCAACTGTAAAATTGAGAAACCAGTAATCCTCTTCATCCAGGAATTCATCGTACCAGCGGTGGAGCATCTGAAACCCAAACACGACACTAGTGTTATGAGGTGGTGCTGAGTTGGCTCCTTTCTGCTGCTAGCATTCCCCTGGGAGAGCAGAAGGCTGCACATTCTGGATTCTCTAATTTGGAGATATAAGGGAAGAGCAGTCATTAGCCATGGTCAAACAGGAGGCGTGCTATTCCTCCCTGCACCTCAGACCCTAGTCACAGATAATGACTAGGACGAGGTAGGACAAATGTTTTACTGAGAGTCATTTCCTGGGCATCTGCATATTTCTTTCTTTGTTAATTTCTAAAGTGTTATCTCAGATATTCTCAAAACAGTCTAAAAACCAAACATCTCCTTTCAAAGTGTCAACTCTTAATATCTCCCACTGGAAGACACGACCCAGTTGGGAAGAATATCTCATTTCATTAAAATAAACAGAATGTACTGGCCCTCCCTGGTGGCGCAGCAGGTTAAAGCACAGCACTGAGAAGCTGAGGCCACTTCCCCATGAGTTCGATTCCCGCCTGCCCCGGAGGTGACCACATGGTGCAGCAGACCTCTCCTGACCCGCCCACTGCTCCCCTCAGCAGTGTACTTCGTCGACCTGCCTGTTCTGCTCCCTACTCTGTCTCTGGTGAAGCCTCTCACTGCCCCTGAGCCTCTGGCCTGTACCCCAGTTCTGTATGCACAAATAAATAAATCTTTAAAAAAAATAAAATAAAAAATAAACAGAATGTAATAATAATAGCATCTCTGCGCTGAGGTACATCGTTTTGGGATACTTCATATAAGGGTCAGTGTCAGTTTTGGGCTTTACTGGACACAGAAAACTATTTTCAAGGTTCTCACTCATTTCCTTACTTTCAGTTAAATTACCCAACTTATGCTTTGTCAGACTCACAGTGGCTGCTGTGGAAATGAGCCTGATGAGGGCCCTGAGCAGAGTCAGAGTCCTCAGCTGGGAAGCCACTGTGGTCATCCAGGCTAAGAAGAGGACTCTGACTAAAGTGGTCATACCAGGAGGGGAAAATGCCAGATACTGGGGAGATTTTTAAGATCAAGCCAACAGGATTCACTAATGGGTATAAAAATGCTAGTTAAGGATGCTATCAAGATTTTTGGTCTGGGAAGTTGTCATATCTAGACTTATCCAGGCACAAACAACTCAATATCTTTACTGAAGACCAAATGCTAGCAGGAAGCCTTGCTGTGCAGGTTCTCAGATCCAGGAAGTGCAATCCCAGTCTAAGTCTCTCACCCCAAATACCTTGACAAAGTCATTCAAGGCCACCTCTGGACTTCCAGTATACAAGGACTGTATACAAGGAGAACTTCAGCTATGACTCCATTGGAACAATCCAGTCCTATTCTACCCCAATGGGCAACCCTAATGTCCAATTATGCTGTATTGGAAATCATGTGGGACCCTGAGCCAAAAACTTCTGGGTGCTGATCCTTGTGCCTCCACTAGCCCAGGGTGTGCCTTTAACCCTCTCTGAGATTAATTTTCCTCAACTGTACAGCAAAAGCAAGAGTATAGGCCCTCCCTGGTGGTGCTGTGGGTTAAAGCTCAGCACTAAGAAGCTAAAGCCACTTCAGCATGAGTTCGATCCCCACCCCAGAGGTGATCCACATGGCACAGCAGACCTCTCCTTACCAGCCCACAGTATACTTCATCAGTCTGCCTGTTCTGTTCCCCACTCTGTTTCTGGTGAATCCTCTCACCACCTCTGCACCTCTGGCCTATACCCCAGCTCTATATGCATAAATAAATAAATCTTAAAAAAAAAAAAGCAACAGTATCAGTACCATGTCTGCTCTCAGAGGTGCTAAGAAGTCTAAAGGAGATAATGTACATAAATGTGCTTTATCAAACAAATCATTATAATGCACTAAACAATTTGCTATTGCTAGTCACTTTTCACTCCAGAAACATATCCTGCTATTCTTCATCCTGTTGAGCCATGGGAGGTTAAACTGTATGGACAACATCATAAAACTCCCTTGACATCTGGTTGAGTTTATCCAGTGAGGAATCCTGGCAGAGGGAAGGTGAGCTTGGAATATCTTTCTCCCTTTTTCTCTCCCAGCCAGATCACTGTGGGCTGGCAATATCCCACTACTGACAATTACAGTCCTGTCAAGTGCCCCACTGGCAGCTGATTCTGGAAGCTGCTTCCTCCCTTGGGTTCTTCAGACCTGAGAGCCTTATCCCCATGCCCATTCCTATAAAAGTTTTTTTTTTTTTTAATTTGGTTCTCATCTGTTACCCAACTTGACTGTTTCATTTGTTTTCTGCCAAGATTTTGATGTTACAATTGTAAAGTGATGGCCTTACTTCTTAGGAGTCTTCAGGATAGTCCCATGTTTTTAGCTAATGCTTTGGGATAAGAATAAACTCTTCCCAGTTGGCAGTTACTTGGATAACAAATCTGAAGTTCAGTACATAATGTTCAGAACAGGATTCTTGAAACATCCCTCAATAGAACACTCTGGGGTACATAGTTTTGGGAGAACCCATATAAAGGTAAATTGAAGAAGGGAGATATTGATCACACCTTCCCCTCAATTTTACTTTGGACTTGCTAGTTATTTGCAGTTCTCATTGATCTCTCCAAAGAGATCAACCAACTCTTCAAAATGTGAAGAGTTATGTGGATAGTTAGACCATTAATTTAAGCAGAATAGATGATCAGACAGGAAAATTTATTGGTTGTGATCTAATTTTCCAGATACTCATTTCTATAATGACCTACCTTACAGATCTCCTTCTGGGCTCTGGGGATCCAGGGGTTTACATCCCCAGAAGGAAGCAGCTCCTTCAAACCTTGAATGGTTCGAGACTTGAGGGGCAGCGGCGGGCAAATCTGCTCATTCAGGTACAGCTCACAGATTCTGTTACCTAACATGTGGCGAAAGACAGCATTCCCGGTCTTCCTGTTCCTCATTAGGACACTGAGGAAATGGTGCAAGTCCTGCCAGAGGTCCAGGAGCTGGATCTCCACTTTCAAGTCCTGCTTCTTCAGGTGGTGTCGGAAGGGACTCCCGGCACAGGTATCAGCACACAAGGCCCAGTGGGTGTACCCCAAGGAAAATTTTTGCTTTTTGGCCCTCTTGAATGTTACTGGGGTGGTGTGATTGATGATGGGGGTGACCGTCCTCAAGTGGGCAGAGAAGTTGTCCTCAAAGACGCCCTCCAATTGGATGTTACTCTTGACTTTCTTTACGTTGGACTTCCTTGCACCGGGTCTATCTTTTTCTTGAGAGCTATTTTTTCTCTCCTTTGAAGAGGTTACCTTCAAGGAAGGCATCTGAGGGCTCATCATCTCTTGAGGACATGCCTCCTGGGGCGGCCAAATGGTGGTGTTTGACTTGAGATCCATTTCCAGGGACCAAGAATTGTGGTCAATCAGTTGCTTCATTTTTTTCTTGGTCTTCCTGCTCGAGTAGTGTTTCTGAGGGTGTTGGCATTTCTTTATGCTCATGTTCAGTGGGATCCCTCCATCATGGGTGTGGCAAACACTGAACAGGCCAGTTTCATACTCTTGCATCAGTCCCTGGCATGATTCTTCCTTGGCCATGATCATCTTAGCATGGGTGTAAAAGTTGGGGAGCCAATAGCTCTGGAGTTTGAACAGAGCCACTTTCTGCATGTGACTCAGAATTTCTCTCCTGGTGGTTGACTGGTTGGGATGCCAGATGGGCAATTTCAGGAGGGACTCTGTAAAGAATACAAAGAGCTGAAGAATGAACATAATGCAACAATGGTGGTGATGATGTTGGAGAAATTTTTGGATTTTTTCAAAATTTTTTTTGCATGTAATATTTGGCCAGATAAAATATACAGTGGACATAGAGTAATAGGCTTCACTCCACTCATAATGACCCCTTTCTCTTGTTACTTCCTTTCCTCCCCATTGATACAGGCCATTTTTATGGGACTCTTCAAATTTAGAATATTGACTGTTATTATAAACAAACAGAAAAAGCATTAGGAAGAACGTTTAAGAACTGAAATATTTACCTCTTAATGAGATTTCTCAACATCAGATGTGATTGAAGGAAGGGATTTGGACTGGGTAATTTTAAGGAGTCCTTACTAGGCCTGATTTTAATGTTATATTTTCTAAATTATGTATGTATGTAGAAGAATATGGCTAATTCCAAACAGCAAATCTTCTGGGCCACATCTATATTTGGGTCAGGAATGTTGCTTCACTCAATACATATATAAGTGCATTTGTACAAATCTGATGCTCTAGAGGAGGGGTTGCAAAATTTTTCTGCAATGGGACAGATAATAAATTAGACATTGTAAGCACATCCAGTTTCTGTTGAACAGTCTCCTCTTTAACCCTTTAAAAATACATAAACTTTCTTCTCTCACAGACCACATGCCCTGCGTTTGACCTGTAGATCATAATTTGTTCTACAGGATACTGATTTAAAGAAACAAAAAAGGACAAACCACTAACCTCAGAAGATGCAGGAGCTGTTCTATTGCCCTGTTCCAATTCCTCTTTCTTCCTGCCAACTTTTCCTAAAAAGTGTATCTCGGCCCTCCCTGGTGGCGCAGCGGGTTAAAGCACAGCACTGAGAATCTGAAGCCACTTCCGCATGAGTTGGATTCCCGCCTGCCCCGAAGGTGACCACATGGCGTGGCAGACCTCTCCTGACTCGCCTGCTGCTCCCCTCAGCAGTATACTTCGTCGATCTGCCTGTTCTGCTTCCCACTGTCTCTGGTGAAGCCTCTCACCACCCCTGAGCCTCTGGCCTGTACCCCATTTCTGTATGCACAAATAAATAAATCTTAAAAAAAAAAAAGTATATCTCGGCCCTCCCTGGTGGCGCAGCGGGTTAAAGCACTGCACTGAGAAGCTTAAGCCACTTCTGCATGAGTTCGATTCCCGCCTGCCCCCGGAGGAGACCACATGGCGTGGCAGACCTCTCCTGACCCGCCCGCTGATTGCCTCAGCAGTGTACTTCGTCGATCTGCCTGTTCTGCACCCCACTCTGTCTCTGGTGAATCCTCTCACCCTCCGCATCTCTGGCCTGTACCCCAGTTCTATATGAATAAATAAATAAATCTTTAAAAAAAAAAAGTATATCTCAGGAAGAGGTACCTACTAAGGATAGCTGGTCTCTCTCAATCTCCCCGGTGAGGACTGGGATTCCCACGGGCACTGATAGATAGGAGGTGAGAGGGCAGCAGTCCACAAAGCAAGAGACTGAGGGGTATCAGACATTGGATTACTTTTTGTTTTACTTCCTGTAAGTTTCATCCACTGAGGATTTGCCTTTTGGCTCTTACTAATATTCATGTTGCAGAGTGTCACCACCCGGGAGCCCTCCTGCAGGTGGGTGGCCTTCAGCACGAGGAGGAGGGACAAGTAGTGGTCTCTCATGTTCAGGTCCATCTCATCTATGCTCAGGATCTTCTCAGCAAGGATCCAGAAATCTACCAGCTCTTCACCTACAGATCAGACAAGGTGGTCACAGAGCTGTCAATCTTGCCCTTCAGTAGTTGCATCTGAGTGTAGCAGCTGGGAACATCTCTGCACCAACAGCTTGCTTAACTGCCTGTCCCTGTCAGGCAGTCACTCTGGTGGGTTAAAACACTGTCTGGAGAAATGTCCTACTGTAGGCGTGGATGGGAGATGTTGGAGAAGAGATTTACCAGATGGGGACTTGTGTGACTTTTTTTACTATTGCTAAAAAACCTATTACTTTAAAGAAAATTGCAAATCTCTAAGGACAGATCATGACATATTTGAATCTTGACTAAAAACTGAAGGTCAGGGGGAAAAAAATGTCCATAAGCCATAGACCACAGCAATCTGGAGAGGGACATCAGGGTCAAAAGATATTAAAAATTATATCATTTATTTCATAGCTTTTCCAGAGCTAAAGTCTCAGTGACGTGCAGTAAGATAACCTTCACTGTTCGCTCCTACATGCTTGCTGGAGATCGAGAATTTCGCCGCTAAATGAAGGCTCATTCCTGAATGAAGGTTACTGTTGCTGAAGTGTCAGTCAGTTTTGATCAGCTAAGGACACAGAGAAGAGAAGCAGTGCATCCTTTTGCTATAAGGTTTATTTATTTATTTATTGGGGGAGGTTACTTATTCCTTATATGTCTCATCACCATAGTGACAGCATTTTAAAGTCAGGACCTACGAATCTTGTTCACCTCTTACTCCACCTACCAGCATCAAGGCTGCTTAGAGCGATGCTCGACAAACATTGCTGAGTGATTAAGTGAATGAACGAATGAATGGGTCCGTGAGTGTGTCTGCTCTGGCCTATGCTGTGGATCCTAGTTTTCAAAGGCTTTTCCCAAATGGCATCACAAAACAAGTTTTGTTTACCACAGACATAATTGCCCGTAAGCCCTCCAGCACACCTTAGACATTGTTAAGAACTTGCAAAACCTCAGGGACAACTGTACACTCACCTGCACTGCCCTTAAGGTAGGTACAGAAGCGCCACATGCCTCTGACTCCACCGACACATTTCTGGAGTAGCCACTGGTCTTCCTTTTTCCATTTCATCATCTTGGCTGTCAGGGAAAGTTGATGGTGAAAAAGAGAACAGGCTTGTCCCCCACCAGATGACCATCTGCTCAGTGTGAATGCGAAATGGTGACCACTTAGGTGAGTCGGGCTTGCTTCTGTGTTGTTTTTGGAGTTTATGCCAGAAGCTCTCTCTGACATGCAAAAGCCCCACAAGCACCATACTATGCACAGATCAAAACACCTCCATCCAGGGCCTGTGCCTTCTAGAGTCCCCACCGCATAGGGTCTTGCTAGCACAATTTTCCTTGTACTTATAGTGAAGAGGTAAGTGTAGTAGGTGATTTGTTTCCACTCAGCAGCTCCAGAATCTTAACTATCCCTGGAGTGGAATATAGTTTCCTTTGGCCAGTTGAGCTGTGGGTCAATTACAAATATTACATGCCTATCAACTGCCATGGTCATTCCAGGCAGAACTCTTGCCTCAAGCTTATATTCTACTGAAGAAAACAGACAGCTAGTAAGTATAATATGTCTATCATCCAGTAAGTTTATAAGCACTATAGGAAAAAAATAAAAATGAAAAGCATGTAAGGGGGATGGGCATGCTAGGATGAGGTTGTATTTGTGGGCATCAGGGTCATTAGGGTAGCCTTCACTGAGGAGGGGAGAGGGAAGCCTGTGGCTTTTCTGGAAGCAAGGCATTCCAGTTGAAGCAAACCCTTGATGTGGGAAAGTTCTTGCTGATCTGAGGGATGAGGCTCATGTGGCTAGAATGGATAAGCGACAGAGGCGGGAGGAGGAGACGTGGTCAGAAAGGACACAAAGCCAGGCCTCTTGGACCTCGAAAGCTGCATTTTAGGGGCACTGGGTTTCCCACTGAAGAGAAGTCATTAGTGCTGTGACACATTGTCAGAGAAGGAGCAAACATATGATATGATCTGAATGGAGTTTTTAGTGTTCCCACTCTAGCTGCTGTGAGAGGAATGAGAGCGGAAGCTAGAGACTGAGACGATTTCAGTGCCCAGGTGAGAAATGATAGTGGGTTCCATCTGGTGGGAGCAAATAAATGATGAGATGGGTCTGGAATATTTTAGATGATTTTCCTATGTTCAATGAGACAAATAATCCAGTCCATCTGACTCCTCCTCATTGCTCTACGTACCAATTATCTGTAAGATTTCACTTACCGCCACTATATAGGCTCAGCTACCTCAGTCCAAGCTATAAAAGCTGCCAAAATCTATATCTACTGTAGCTCTAACAGACACTGCATCATGGTTCAGTCTGGTTTCCCTACTTCCTCCACATAGACACCTCCCATACTTACCTCCTTCTGTGGACTTAATGAAACTGATGAATTCCTGACAGAGAATGTAATGGAAACACAAGTTGGTTTTACAGAAGAAAGGTAACCGGAATTTTTCCAACCAGGTCAATAATCCTTTGTACTTTGCAACCTAGAGTATAAACAAAAGAGGAACAGGGAAAAGAAATGGAACTGAATTTTGAAGAAAGGCCTCTTAGCAAGGAGCAAAAAATTGCCTCACACTGTCCAGAGGTCCAGAAGAGAGGTGTGTATCTGGTCCAGAGGAGAGGTGTGTCATAGTCCTAACATAAATTTAGTGAAAAGTTGCAACTCCACTTGCTTTTTTACAAACACACAACTTCTCATAAGCTTCCAGTTCACATCAGTGGCCCAACATGTGCAAAATCACACAATTCATGTTTTATGTCATATAGAGCAGGGGATGGATCTGAGGAAATGAAACAAATAAAATGTTCACTTTGGGGGATTTCCTTAGGGAAATGAATGTAAGAAGCCAAATAAACTGTCTTTATCATTAGCTCTGTAGTGCCCAGAACAGTACTTTGAGTGATCTTTGATGCCACATTCCGCTGGTAAGTCTAAGGTTTACATGTGGATAAGGAGAATAAGAAGGGGGATGAGGAGAAGAGAAAAATAGCGACAGGAACAAAGGAAAAATAGCAAGAGTGGCCCTCCCTGATGGCACAGTGGTTAAAGACACCCTGCTATCAAGCTCCCGGCCAGAGAAGTGACCCACATGGCACAGCAGAACTCTCCTGTCTTACCCACTGCTCCCCTCAGCAGTGTATTTCAGTACATCTACCTGTTTTGCTCCCCCACTCTGTCTCTGATGAAACTCTCACCCCCTACACCTCTGACCTACACCCAAGTTCTTGTATGCACAAATAAACAAAATCTTAAACAAAATAGAAAGGCATCTGGAGGAGAATGCTCAAGTGGTGCTAGGCTTTGCAGAGCTACACCTTAACCTTGAGCTCCACCATGAGTCACCACACGGCTTATGGACTGCCGTTTCCCACCAGCACTATGGAATGCACTGCAAATCAATCCCCAGACTCTCAACATAATCTCCAAGCATCTAATATTTAACAGTCACAGGGGTGATGAAAGGTGGATTCCACAGACTGGGAAGGCTGCACCAGGGTACAAGTGCAAAGAGGAGAGGAATAGCTACCTGGATTGATGCTGCTTGTTCTACTCACCTGCTTCGATTTCTTCCATAGTCAGTTTCTGGGCTCTTCTCTTTCTCTCTCTTCCAGCCCACACTTCAAATTCTGCTTTTTTCCCCACCCCAAACTCTGCATCTTTCAAGACTCTTACTCACCAAGTTATAAGGTAGTTCTGGCCATAAGCTCCACTCTGAATTTTCAACAGTATAAAATGGTGTTTGACCAAATACCTGCAAAAGGAAGCGAGGAAATAGCCAAAGGAGAGGAGCTTGTCTTCATGAATGTGTTATGGCCATCTGCAGCACAGGGGAGAGAGTTTCCATTGCTTTCCCGTTTCAAGGACATTAATTCTTAAATTCATGTACTGAACCAACTTGCCTTGAATAAAAATGTCCAAAATAGATTCAGTTGCAAGATTTGTTTGTGTGTTGGATCTGCCCTAATGTGGACATTATCCTGCCCATGTTCAAAAGGCAAAGGCCATGATATTAAAAGGTATTAACTTTGTATAAGGCATTATACATTTCCCCAACAACTCAGAGTTAAAGGTCTAAAACCAGGCCCTGCTGGTGGTCAAAGGGTTAAAGCATGGCACTATGGAGCTATTGCAGCCATTGTAGCACAAATTCGATCTCTGGCCATGGAGGTGACCCATATGGTGTTGCAGACCTTTCCTGACCCACCTGCTGCTTCCCTCAGCAGTACATCTGCCTGTTCTGCTCCCCACTTTGTCTCTGGTGACCCCTCTGCACCTCTGGCCTGCACCCCAGTTCTATATGCATAAATAAATAAATGTTTTGTAAAAAGGTCTAAAATACTTTTATAAAGAGAAACAACTTTGTATTATCAAAACTCTTAACCTGGGGAAAATGGAGAAGATTGGAAAATGTGGAGAGTATGAAAATTAGGGGTCCATATTACTGATGGGGACAAAAAGATTTTCCAAATTTGATAGATAATTCTAGGTTACTGTCCTGTTTTGTCATGGAGGGGCAGGACTGTCACTGAGGCAGCCAGATTCAGAATTGATGGAAATGGGTTTCTGTGTTTATAGGTATCTAAATTGCAAGTCTTAGCACCACAATCTGATCAAAATAAGGGGAAACTCAAGATTTTAGAGGAGATTTTGTTTTTTATTAATTTGCTCAAATTGAAATAGTTTTGACTTGGAAAAATTTTCTTCAAAGACATGCAGTTTGGTAAGATTCATTATTCAACAATTAATAAAACATTTGAATTTAAGTCTGACGATGCTTACCGGGAGGGAGAGAAATGTGTTGAAAAAATCAGCAAAGACTTCATCCTCTAGAAGAATTATAAGATTTGTAGAGCCAATTATTTCTATATAGGAAGAAAAAACAGTGTTTGTGAACCACTATTGCATTTGGGGTAATAAAATTAAGCAATTAAACAGACCATTTCCTACTGCCCAAACTCAGCGTGATGACAGTCTTTAAGGAGATCTAACTCAATGGTCTCCCCTTCTCCAGGAGTCCCCTGCAGACCATGCTGCTTAACCTCTCCCAGCTGTGGGGAGCTCAACCTCTCCCACAGCTGTCCATTCCATTTATGAAGACACAAAATGATTCAGAAAGGTTGTTTCCTGCTGTGAACTGCCTGTCTTTGTTTCTTTTCCATTAATAGATGCTCTACCCTCCAAAGATTGAGAGAATCCATCTAAGTCCTCTTAAATAAAATAATGCTCCTTATATTATAACACGACCATAACTTTTGCTTCCCTTCAAGCCCTCTGGCTAGTGCCCAAAAAGTTCCTCAACTATTCTTCACATGATCCCCCTTCCATCTGGTTCCTTTCTTGACAGCTGGAGTGGCACCCACATCTCAAGCCATTGGCATGCTCCTTAGGGAAGCATTAGAGAACCATTGCCCATAAACCATGTCATATTTGTGTGGTCAGAAACAGGGGGGACTTTGGTGCTCTTCTAGCACATGATTGATTCCATCATCCTTTACTCTTGCAGCCACTTCTCAGAAACTAGGGCAGGAATTTTTCTTTATTCCAGTCAGATTTCAACGGTGGTATGGGCTGTCCCAGTGCCATCTCATCTTTCACGGTTGGCATTTGCATTTGTTGCACTTCTGGACACTGTAGACACTCTCTGGAGTGAGAGAACTGGCCACACTTAGAAACTCTCCTTTTCCTCAATCTCTTTTTTTAAAAAAATAAAATAAATAAACGCTGTTGTTGTTTAAACCCTGAGTAATTGTGCACTAGTGAGAATCCACTGAGAGCAACATGCTAGGCACCCTGGGCACTGTCCCTTGGCCATGGCTTGAGCACTGACAGAGTGCCATGTTTAGCTGCATGTTCCAGCACTCTCACTCCCAACCTCCATGCCTTTGCTCTGCTTTCCCATTGCCTGAAGTGTCCTCTCCACTCAGTTGTTTCATGAATTACTAGTCAGCCATCAAGAACTAGTTTACCTATAATCTTGATGAGCCAAGAATGGTAGAAAATACCAGAGGGTAAAGGGACTCAATACTCCCCTGCACCATCATGTGCATCTCCCATCACCAGTCACTGACATTAACAAGTCACTCTTCTCTATTTGATGGGTCTGTCTTCCTCACCAGCCTGCCTTCTGTGAGCTCATGTCTTTTTCCAAGTGCTGCAAGTGTTTGCATAATGTCTGAGTTCTATAAATGCTGAATAAATTGTTCTTTCAAGACAAGACCTATCATTTGTCATTTTTAGAGCCTGGCATGAATTTATTGAATGAAACTATTGAGAAAACCCACAGAAAATTAGGGCTTGGCAGAAATTTCCCAACTGATTGTTTTCCACAGTTACACACACTGCTGATGACAATAGCTTGACTGTCACAAAGCTGGTCATTAATAAGATTGTCCTAAAGGGTATGGAAGTCAGAATTTTTATATCCTTCCATTCCCTTCCCTCTCCCATCCTATAACTACTCTTCCTGTTTTTCTGTTCTTATCTGTTCTGCTTCACACTTCCTCATAACCTGAAATCTTTTTCAACACTCATCCCACACAATCATATTTACTTGGAACAAAAGAAATCATTGGATAATCCCAAAGCCCATGTAGCCTCCTCTCAGGAAGAGGTTTGGAAGGTGAGGACTGGATTTGCCTTTTGCTTCCTCCCTCTTAGTTGCCTTAATTGTGTTGTGAATGAGACCCTGTCCTAACATCCAAGATCGAGTAGCATAATATGAGAGAAAGAAGAGATAAGCAAACAGAATGAGTAGCATAAAAGCCACTCTTAGTCTTTCTGAAAGGGTCTTTCCCCTACGGGACTTACCTACGTTGCTCATGGTACCATGTCCTTCCTGCCACTGTAACTGATTAGGGGAGAATTATCCTCAGTCAACAGAGCCCCAGCTCTTGTGAACACACAATGACACCTTCTTGAAGGGATTCCGGATTCTAAAAGGAAGTGGCCTACTTATTTCTGGTGTAAACCTCCATCTAAAATGTCTTTATGTTAGCTGTTCACCTAGATTCCCTTGACAATACCTGACTTCTTATTGCTAGGTCTCTAGTTCACTAATTTGTGTGTATTGTGAGGGTATTTATAATTTTTTTTAAAGTTTATTTATTCGTACAGAACTGGGGTACAGGCCAGAGATGTGGAGGGTGAGAGGATTCACCAGAGACAGAGCAGGAAGCAGAACAGACAGATAGACGAAGTACACTGCTGAGGGGAGCAGGGGGCGGGTCAGGAGAGGTCTGCCTCGCCATGTGATCACCTCCGGAGCAGGCAGGAGTCGAACTCATGTGGAAGTGGCTTTAGTTTCTTAGTGCAGTGCTTTAACCTGCTGCGTCACCAGGGAGGGCCCGTATTTATAATTTTTGCCCAGTTATAAAGGGGACAAAAGTTTATATTCTTTGAGTCTTCTAAACACGACTTTGTACTTCATTGGATTAGGGTGGGGGAAGGAGAGTCTTCTCATTTACTTCTAACATGGTTTTAGATCTACTATCTTTCCAGAATTCCAACAGGTGCTCAATGAAAGGTTAATGAGTTGGCTTGTCTTTCAGATAATTTGGAATATTCAACTTAATATCGAAATGTTATATTCCATCTCTTCTCTTCCTTCCTGGATATTTTCCTCTGGTTCGTAGTTCACATCATTACCCATCAATTTTGAAAAGGAATAAAATAAACATTCTCTGAGGAAGTTATATTAAGTGTGTACATTTTGTCCTCACTTACAGTTCTTGTCTGCAAAACAGAAATGTTCACCACCTCCTTTTCACTGAAAGATTGTAAATACAGCACACAGATTTGACTTTTCCTATTTGATTCAAGAATCTATGTTATTTCAACTAAGCCGATATGAAAAATGCATTTTAATGAACTGAAAGTAAGATTCTTGGGCTTTGCACCATGATTTAATTTTCCTGTGTAATTCTCTCTATTACTTACAGTGGGTATCCTTATCAGTTTAACTGGAATTTCTTTCCCACCAATGACATGAAAGTAAATGATATCAATATGAAAAACGAATACTTGGAAATAAGTATCACTTGTATCTAAGAATTTGACCCTAAGTCTGAAACACAGCCATTTACATTCATCAGATCATTCTGTTGGGAGAAGGACGTCCTAAAAGAACTGCAGAGACTTGTGACTCCACCCCTACTCCAGATTTCTGGATCCCACCTCTTACTTCTGTGATTAGAAAACTACAACTCCCAGCAATACCAAGGAGAGAATTGCCAGGACCTAAGGGTGGAGCTAAGCAGGCATTCTGGGACTTTGGGGAATAAATAGTAAGTGGTTTTCCACAGACAGGCAGCCCAAGTCCACTCTGGGCTACCTTGTAACAATTCCACACATAAGAAATAATTTTCTATACTCAATTTTGATACGAATTTTTATAATCCTGGGGCCCTCCCTGGTGGTGCAGCGGCGTGGAGGGCAGAAGGTGAAACTGGCCCTGGCCCAGTGCGAGTTCCATCCCCCACCCCGGAGGTGACTCCCATGGTGCAGCAGCCGTCTCCTGACCCACCAGCTGTGTCCCTCAGCAGTGTACTTCCTCCATCTGCCTGTTCTGTCCCCACTCTGAATCCTCTCACAGCCCCTGCACCTCTGGCCTGTGCTCCAGTTCTGTATGCATAAATGAATAAAAACTTATTTTAAAAAAGCAAATTTTTCTAATCCTGATCAGTTCCCCACTTATCTAAACCAATCTCTCTGAAATAGACAGACTTAAGAAAAAGGCAATATGAGAGATAAATTAGATTTATCTTTCATTTTGTTTTCTTCAAGACTGCATGGTGACCTTCAACTATAAACTGAGTCATGCCTACTTGTGGGTTATCGTGATCAGCACAACCAGAAGAACACAACTCTTTAACCACATAAAAATAGAGAAATGAGGAACAATAATAAATAATAAGACAAAAGAATTTTTTGAGATGTTTCTGATTTACCAACATCTAAAATGCTCTTTGCAAATTGAAATTTTGAGATTCTGCATGATTTTGCTCACCAATAATAAATTGTGGTCTGACATATATTTAGGATATTGCAATACCTGAAACTTACTTTTGTTATTTATTACTTGAACTTTGCAACGCTTCCTATTTTGGGTAAAAATGCCAGAAGAGTACCTCGTCTGCCTTGGTAGCAAGGACAGGTTAATAATCAAGAAATCAAATGAAATTATTAAACCACTCAGAGCTTTTTCTCCCAAACTCTTTTAAGAGACATATGTGTGTTCTAATAATAAAGGAGGTAACTGATAGTTGATTGAAGAAATATGGTGAACCACAAACTTTTTGGAATGCAAAAAAGAAAGAAAGAAAGAAGCAAAGAATCACTACTTACCAAAATCAGTGAAATAAGTCAGAAGGAAAAATAAAATATCAAATGGTTTCCCTTATCGGAGGAATATAAGGGAACCAAAAGAGGGTTAAGCAAAATAATAACAAATAAATCAAAACTAGCAAACAACGATAAATTAAAGGCATTTTTCAGAAGAGGGGAAGGGAAAAGGATCAAAATGGGATGGGAAGAGCACAAGGGACTATGGCGATGGTGCCTTAATGACTTGGTCGTGGGAATTTTGTGAGGACGACACCTGAGAGAAGCATACACTGTACGAAAATGAACAATGATGCTATATACATATGTATGTGTGTATATATACACATAAATATATGAATCCACACAAATATAGATACATAAGTCTATACACAAGGGTAAATAGTTATAAATAATTTTAAAAGTAACTGGTTTGCACATACAATAAAAAAGCATTTCACTTTTGAAGTGTAAGTATTGTTTTATTCAAAATTCACTATTAACAATATTCCTTCCAAGTTAAGTTGTTTTCTTTTATGGTACAGCACGATTTTGTAGACATTACATAAGCGTTCCATCAATGCTGAGATTTGTAAATTTCTTTAATCCTCTCTTGGCTGTGAAATTGAACAACGCTGTAATTTTTGACTAAAGTTTTAATATTTATGGAGTTGATGGCTTTTCAGCCTAATGTTCACTTCCCAGGAGAGGGGACAAGTGAAAGGGAGGCTTAGTTAGTGAGAAATCCAAGTGTCTCAAAGTCCATCAGAAAAAGGGAATCCAAGCCCCTTGGAGACAGACTATCCAGAATAACATCAAGCAGTATAGCTTACGAAATATTTGGGAACTGAGTTTAGCAATTCAAAAGTCACCTCGGATCAAAGAGGATAGGGCAGTATGGAAAGGGATTTAGAAAGCAAATAGAAAGCTGGGTAGTGATGAACCTTCCCAGTCTGTTCTTGAAAACTGACATCCAATGTTAGCAATAGAAAGGTAAATCACATTAGTAATTGAAAGAACTCAGCAGAAAGGAAATGAATGAAGGAGGCAGTATTCATCCTTGTGCTCCGCAATGTCTAGAACATAGGAGGTGCTCAAGAATATTTGTTCAGTTTAGCCAAGAAATGGATGTGAAGGTAATATGGAAAACTTGAAGTTCTACAAAATTATCAACTTCTAAAAATTGCCTAACTGATTAAGACATTGCAAGAGTTTGAAGGAGAGATAGAGCAAACAATGAAGCATCACGGACCCAGTGACAGTTGATGAAAGCTCTAGATTCAATGTTGACAGACTTCTCTTGGGCACAACTGTGCCTCCTGATTTAGAACTCTGCGGTTATTGCCAATGGCTAGTTAGGTGGCAAATCACAACAGATAGAATTTATGTCTTGCCCCTAATTGGTGTCATGGGCAGACAGTCAATGTCATACAGATTCGGAATAGTGGTCAGTGTAGTCAAGTTTAAAAAATCAAGGGCGATACAATTTCAGCCTTAGTACAGTATTCAAAATGTTATTGGCGCATACCGGATCTTGAAGCAATTATACTATCATAATATAGTAAGTGAAAAAAGCTGGAGAGTCTTCCATTAAAATAACCAGATTAATTAAAAAAATCACTCCAGGAAAATACTGAGTTTTAAGAAGTAGAATCATTTAGGACTGGTGATTAAGTCTTGGACAAGCATTAAAAACTATAATTCTGCCCTCCCTGGTGTTGCAGTTAGTTAAAACTCAGCACTAAAAAGCTAAAGCCACTTCAGCATGAGTTTGATCCCCACACCAGAGGTGATCCACATATGTGGCTGACATCTCCTGACCTACCTGCTGCTCCCCTTAGCAGTGTACTTTGTCAGTTAGCCTGTTCTGCTCCCCACTCTCTCTGGTGAATCCTCTCACACCCCTGCATCTCTGGCCTGTACCCTAGTTCTGTATGCATAGATAAATAATGAAAAAATATTAGAAAAACTATAATTTATGGATATGATCATACAACAAGTCTATCTGGCAGTTCCTATTGATCAGAAACTCTTTGCCTTGAGATATCTACGAGAATCCTACAACAGGTTAAACAAGAACATTTTGGTGATTTTTATTGAGTTGCTAAAATCAGCCCTTTTATCTCAAGAGGCATTTTGACACTTGTGTTTTTGAAATACACACACAGCTTTGTATGTATCTCTATATAGATTTAAATGTCTATCTAATCTATATATATAGACCTACAGGTCTATAAGATCTGTAGCGCAATCCAATTGCATTCTGTCCTTTTTCACGTCCATACATCCAATTTGAATAGCAAACAAGGTCTTCATTACGTTTACTGGATGTTCCCACGATTCTTAAAGTTTCTGCCCTCCACTTCATCTGGCCTCTTCTTTTCAGTTGGTAACAAACCAGAACGTGTGTCCCTCTGGGTTCATGGGAAGAAGCTGCCCTCTTGTGGATGATCATGAGGATTACATTTTTTTCTCTCCAAAATTCCATTCAGGTTTTCTTGG